AGGAGCTGCAGAATCTGTTCAACAGGCACTGCTCGGGTTCCTGGGGAAGAAGCCTCCTGTGTTTGACAATGTTCCTCCTGAATCCGATTGGCTCGTCCTTGCTAAGTGGGAGGGAAAAAATCCGATTGGCTAGCACGATATGTCTTCACTATTTGACAGTGTTCCGCTACATGTGAAAGCAGGTTGCTGGAGATTCCGGACCAGTGAAATAGACTAGCGAATGACTCCTTTGATGTGGTGACGGTGCCATGTCAGGTACAAAGACAGCAATGGCGAAGTCTCGTCCATTCAGACGCTTTGCATGATTCAAGCCTATAGCACACGTGTGCCAGATTGCTAGCTGTGGAGTTTTGGGGTCGGGCCACCATTCGCTTGTTCGCATGTGAAAGCATTCCAATTCGGCGCCGAGTTCGTCGAGCATGCCGGAACCTCAAACCATAAGTGAATTTTGGCTCAAGCACATAGCAAGAGCTACGCGCGTCGTAGTTTAACCAGCATGGTGACAACCCGGATGGTTCGTTAGCTTGCGCTGTGCCAGTTGGCGGTCAGCACAGAGGTGTTGCAGACAGAGACTCTGGCGAGCCCATCTCTGCGAAAGAGTTTGCGGAGAAGATGCAGTGCGATGCACAGGAGAATTCCTTCTCTATCAACGGAGGTGACTGGACTTTCGTCTTGGGCAGTTTGAAAGACCCTGGTATCGGTTGGGGGGACCTTATGGTGAGCTGGGAGAAGGGAGGTCCTCACAAGCAGTACCTTGGCATCGATTATGCGTTCATGTCGCAGAGTTATCAATTCAACGACTACCTGACTATCTCCTCTTATCTGGGCGTGACGCTTTTTCCCATGACGCTCTGGTGCTCGCAAGTCATCAAGCTTCTTGTGCCGTTGCCTGTTCCCACTGGTTGCAACGATTTCTGGATGGAGCAAGGCTTCAGCGCCCTCTACATCACGCCGCCATGGAACCTGGCTGCATTGAAAAGCCCGGGCTTTGATGATGCAGGCTGGCCGCGATCCATGCACCCATCGGATCTCATTGTTGACAGCTTGGCCTTCCCGCCGCATCCGTGTCCAGCCAAGGCTGAAGGTTCTCTTAGGTGAAAGCCCGGATGCCCCGCCGACCCTGGAGCTGCGCTTGCAATTCTTTTTGGAGCTCCGCCCCATCTTCCGAAAACCCGGAACCACGACAACTACGACAACCACCACCATGAAGCCATATGAGCGCCGACGCAGAGGTCGAGTTCCTACACCGCCGCCTAAGGTCGTGGAGTGGTGCGAAAGAAATCTTCGCAGGGTTCTTTGCGGCATCTGGCTCAGAGCAGATGCACTGTGGCGCTGTGTTAAATGCTGCCCACAACCCCCTAGATGCGGCGGCGACTGCCTCTACAAGTGTCCTTTGAACGGCTCCAATCCTTTGATGAACGGCTCCAACTCCCAGGGATTCCCGAGCATCAGCTACGGGGTTAATGGGCTGCCAGGGGTTGATTTGGCTGCTCCAGGCGAGCCCAGCGAGCTGGAGTGGTTTGCAGAGTCACCTAAGTGGCCCGACAACTTGACAATTCCTGCCGGATTTTTTTCGACATCCCTGACTGGAGCCCATTGCTCTCCACAGACGAGAGGCAGCGAGTGCAAGACTTCAAGCAGACCGTGGATGAGGAGACTGTGCCCCCAGAAAACGTGTCGGTCACCGACGGCGACTGCCCCGTGCCTTTCGCGATCGGCGGCGGTTGCATATGCAAGGAGGGCTGCTCTCGCGCGCGTCCCTACTTGCACTCAGAAATCATATCGGACACGAGCCTGGAATGCGAGGTGCGATGGTTTGATTATCTGGACTTGCTGGCCCTTCCCAAGACGATATGTGGGCCTAGGAAGGTTCGTCAGGCTTGGGCGGTCGGCTTCACAACGCAGCCCGACGGAATCGTTGCGAGGTGGGAACATTGATAGGTGGTGCTTGCATTAAATACTATCCATACGATGACGTCGAGATCATAGCTGCGTTTCCTGAAGATCAAACTTCTTTCCGATGCCTCGGAACTGGCGAGTGGAGAGACGAGCCATGGCACCAGACACGGGCAGGTGGGTATTGTCTGGAGCTTGAGGGGAATGAGAAGGTCATCATGGTCAGGAGGGAAGGTCTTGACAATGCTTCTGTCAAATGTCCTGATGGTTATCAGGTTGTGGGAGGGGGGTGCACCTTTATCGAGGGCACCGAGTTCACGCTTCGTGAGTCCTACCCAACATCCCAGAACACATGGGAGTGCGTCTTTAGCTCGACACAGAAATGTGGCGAAGACAGTCCGGTGTGTTTGCGCAGTGAGGCTCGCGCTGTGTGCTTGGGCATTGCAAGCGCACAGTAATTAAATCCGATTTTCCACGACATGCCTAACACTCCAAGCTGTAGCATGTGTGGCCAACTGCATCCTTTAGAGTAGGAATGCTGTACAGAGAATCCTGAAGCCTTTCAACTTTCTGTGTCTGCTCAGACATGCCTGACAGTAAGATGTAGCATGCTACTGACCTCCACTGGGTCTTCTCCTATCGGAGTACCTTAAATTAAAGGTGCGACAGAAAAGCACGGAGGCATGTTCCCAAGATGACGACAGCCCATCTTGCCTTATTCCGCGAATTGAGAGGAACCTGCTTGACAATATGGAAACAGCTGAGCGAGGCTGCTGAACAGCGGTAGGCCCTCTTCGGCCTTGTTGTGCACATGTAGTCACACTGGCTGATACTGTGGGCGCTTACTTTCTGATTTATGTTGTTTATTCTCCTTTTGTGCTAACTGCCTGGCTCGGTGTGCTCAGACCGAACCTGCCATGCCTGCTTCGAGCGAGTGTGTGAGTCGAAACCATGGACCGCAATCCTCCGCTCTTTTGCGTTCCTTTGTGCCCCCAAGGATCTTGGACATCTTCAGATCCAGAGGCGTCAATGTCAGCTTACGCCCCCTGGCTTTGAAAAGGCTTGCGGGGGCAAATGAATGTAAGGCTGCGACGTTTCTTCGGCATTTCTCGCACGGCCGAGGCAAGATTCAGCAGCTCGTTGCCAAGGCACTGCCTTGCACATCATGATTGCACGGCAGGCTTGAGGGTGACAAGCATTTTCCCCGTGTTTGGGCATGGCAGCATCCTTTGTGAAATGGATCGGATGTAGGAGGGTTGGGTTTATCTCCCTAACTGCATGTGGATGTGTTGCGCAGTCATGTCAGCCTGGTCCTTCTTCGTCTACGTTAGGTGGATGTGGACGGAACACACTCCGTGGACTTCAAGGACCCAACTTTCGCGTCGATTGGCGAAGCTGTATGCTGCCAGGGTTTGGGTACGAGGCCGCGGTGGTAAGCCCAACCGGTCAGAAGACAAGAACCGTGCAACACCTGCATCTTCAGTCCAAGTTTCGAAAAGCAGGGCTTGCAGGTCGAGCTGGGCAGTAAGGGCAGCAGTCGAGTCAGATCCTGGAGCCGTGGGATGCTGATCCTTGTGATGGCGCATTTGTGCGGGCTGTCTCTACAGATTTCTCGATGATGACTCCGTAGCAGATGACCAGACAAAGCGTGCAGGTCTTCCGATAGTTGTTCGGCTGCGCGAAGTGCTGAACTGTCAGTATAGGTTTTGAAGCCAGTGCTGCCAGTGCCTGTCGGCAGGAGTTCCTACGCCTCATGCGCCTGCAAAGGGAGAGCGTGTCTTGGCAAAGGCAAAGGATGCTCTTCGATGTTTTTTTTACGGGCGGGGCCACTTCATGGTCATGGTGCTTGAAAATGAAGCTGTTTTGGTTCACATCCTCCAGAAAGATTAGGGTCTGAGCCCCCTTTTCTCTTGATCTTATCACAGCAAAGGAGTTGACGGATGCCAAGGAGGCCTTCTTCCTCACCCTCCAGGCGGAAGAAGCTTTAGCAACGCTGCAAAGTTTTGGATGCGCTCTCATGAGCCCCCCATCAGGAGACTCTGCCCGCAGAGGAGTTCGCCAAGATTGAAGCCCCCTCGTTGCAAAAGCTTCGTTTGGCAGGCAAACTAAAAGGAAACCTTACATCATCTTGCATCTACATGGCGCATTTCTGTGCTTCCTCTGCTGACTCATTGCTGCCAGAGCCCAAATTCAATCAGTGACTGCGAGTTTAGTGTATATGTAGACTGTGTCGCGCGACTCTCCGACTCTCCGCTCCTTCTGGACCTCACACCTCATTAAGACGATAAGACGACAAGACTATGTTATAGCTTGGGACGTGCGGAGGCTGACCACTGGACCTGGATGCGTATTACTAACAGATCCTGCTGTTCACTTCGCAGCCAGGACTCTGAGAGCCTCACGATCCGCCCTGCTTCTTCGATGAACGGTCAGATCTTCGAACGATCCATGCATTGTTGTGCCGCCAGCAGCACATGTTGTTGAAGCAGCAAAGTCTCAGATGCCTACGTAGCAGATGAAGGCATCACCTTGACTGACAAAGTCTGGGAATGTATGGGGCCTTCCTGGACTGCCTGGAGCTTTGGGGCTCTCCTTACTTCACGCCGTGCCTAGGAAGACTTGATGATCCCAGTGCACATCCTGAACATCCAGACCGACTCACGTGAGCTCAAGCGCCTAGCTCCAAAGCCTCTTGTCGGCACGAAGGTCTGTTCTGTTGACAGGAGCAGTGCAGACTGGACCCTTAGCCGGTTGCCCACTGTCTTATTGAGACATGCCATAGGTACACGGAAGATGGCAAGGTTGACTTCGACAACCTTGTAGGGTTGATCGCTGCATGGCCGCAAGTGCATTCGGTATCATTCGGTCATGTGATCCGATCGGACCACAAGCCGAGACACCCCACTGGCGACGATAGTTGCGTGTAGGAAGCGGGGGGAGATGCCGTCACAGGATGAACTTCGGCGGCTGCGACTCGCTGAGAGCCGGAAGCAGGCCCACCAGCCTATCTCACCGATGCACGACATCCCGAGACACAGTTCACGACAACAGCAACATGGGTGTGATTAGATGTGATCAGGATGTGATTAGCGCCAGCTGAGTCGGGAGGCACAAAGAGTGGGAGCTGCAAGTCATGCCTGCCACGAATTCGGCCAGGCCAGCTACAGTGAAGAGGAGATTCGTGATTTTCGGAGGGCCTTCGACGAGTTCGATGTCGACCACAGCGATGCGCCACTTGCCCGCAGCCACATCTCTCAGCTCTTGAAGGTCTTTCCATGGTTGCACCTTACTGCGTCTCACAGGTCTAGCCTACAAGAAGCAGACCCGTAATTTCGGGATGCGGTACATATACACACACACATATATATATATACATACGTACAGTCGTCACTCCTCTTGCTCTTGGAACCTTCTCATGTTGTTTATGTTCGTGTGTTTGTTGGGTCCCTCATTGTCGGGACAGTCGTAGCTGAAGAAAATGAAGGTGATAATCCCGCTGCTGATGATGGCGATGCTGCTGATGATGATGATGACGACGGCGATGCCGGTGGTGCTCGTGGTGGTGGCAGTAGTGGCAGGCTAAAGGATTACGACCACCATCTTCACCACGATTCAGGCTGCCGGCGTGGGCAGTGGCTCCGAGTTCATTGTCATTTTTCCGTTTTCTTGAGCTGTAGCGTCTGAAAAGGATCGATCGAGACGAGATGGGTGCCTTGCTAAAGCCGCTGGGCTTGGCGCCCCGGCTGCAAAAAGAATTATCACGCATGCGTTCGGGTGCAGCTTTCGAACAGTGGATTTGGGGTTTTGGAGGTGCCCTGGTGTTGAATTATGCTACAGGCGATGCTAGCCCTCCCAGCATCAACAACACTAGGAGCTATTTTTCTCGTCCGCCTCTTGCAGAGTGTCACCTTGGGCACATGGGTGGGGGCACAAAGTAATTGCATATGCCACAGGAAGCCACAGCAAACACGGCAAGTGCCCGCATGGAGCACACCAGGTATTTAACAGGTCCGGTCACGACCTCGCATCCGCAAGGGTTGCGCATGCTACGTCTTCAGCGAGGTGTCGGACATGCAAGCACGCTCCCAAACTAAAGTTCCGAGAAGAGCAAGCCGCCCTTATCCTCGACACGTCTAGACCTGATGATGCGTGGCTGAGGAGCTGAAGACGAAGGATGACCAGAAGCGCCTGTGCTGCAGGATGCTGCAGGGCCCTGAACCCTACTACGGCCAGGGCTTCAGGTTGCCGGTAAGGCCAGGTTTGCAGCATGAGCAGTAGTAGTCAGTCGTCGTCGCAGCACTGGTACCAGCACCAGTGGATGTAGCCGCAGCAATAGCAGCAGCAACAGTAGTAGAAGTAGAAGTAGAAGCAGAAGCAGAAGCAGAAGTAGAAGCAGAAGCAGAAGCGGTAGAAGTGGTAGTAGGAGTAGTGCGGCAGCAGCAGCAGCAGCAGCAGCAGCAGCAGCAACAGCAGCACAGCGGT